ATCCGTTCAGTAGTTTTTGAGATTAGCGTGGTCAAAATATCGGGACTTTTATACTATGTATGTATAGGAGATAGTAATTTTTACATAGGTGGCAACCCTATTAAAAAAAATGAAAGCTTTTGTTCATACGAAGGCCAGGCCCTTTCATTTGGTATCTCATTTTGTAATCCAACGAACGGCAAAAATCTTTTAACTTTTTAATAGGTGACAACACTACACAGAAAAATAATACATTATTGCTCATGTAGAGGCTAAGTCTTTTCGTTTGAGAGTGACGGTGCGGAACTGATGCCTACGCTTATTATGATTGAATATAGGAATTTTCTTAACAGGTGGCAACCCTATTAAAAATACATTAGTGGTTTTCTAGAGACCAATCCCTTTCATTTGACACCTCATCTTTTGTAATCCAACGAACAGTGCGTATCTTATAGTTTTTTAGACAGGTGGCAACCCTATTAAAATTATAAATAAAAAAGGTCACTCTAGTTAAAACCCATTCCATATGTTCGACGCGTTTTTCTTCATTTTCCGAAAAGATAATAACATCATTGACGTAAACGTAACAGGGCTTCCCTATTTGCTCCCTCAATACGTCATCGATTGCCCTCTGAAAAATGTTGGGTTCATTTTTCAAAGCAAAGGGGAGTCTACAGAACTCGTGTTTCCCGTTGCCTACTGAGAAACCGGTCTTCTCTCTATCCGTCTCGGCGAGCGTTATTTGGTGAAAGCCTGATTTTAGGTCAAGTGTTGTAAAATACTTGGCCTTTCCTAGGTTTGATAGTATTGCGGTTACATTAGGGATAGGATATTTATCATCGACGGTTTTTATGTTTCATTTCCTGAAGTCTATCACAAGACGTTTTTTCACGTTGCCTTGTCCGTCCGTTCCTTTCTTATCTAAAACCCAAANTTGGTGAAAGCCTGATTTTAGGTCAAGTGTTGTAAAATACTTGGCCTTTCCTAGGTTTGATAGTATTGCGGTTACATTAGGGATAGGATATTTATCATCGACGGTTTTTATGTTTAATTTCCTGAAGTCTATCACAAGACGTTTTTTCACGTTGCCTTGTCCGTCCGTTCCTTTCTTATCTACAACCCAAGTTGGGTTGTTATATGGTGACCTTGACGGTCGAATGATACCGTTTTTTAATAAATCTCGAACTTCGGTATTCACGAATTCCGCTACACCCATAGAATAAGGGTATAGCTTAGAATAGACCGGGTCGTCAGTTTCGGTGCGAATAGTGGCGACAATATTTGTATTAAACGGGAGTGCCTCATTAGGATCAGAGAAAACTCGTAATAAACTTCTGACCATTTTTCGAAATCGGTCCCTTACAATTTCAGGAACTTCTATATCCTCTACCCGTGTGAAATTCACATTAGCACACTTTAAAAACTTTATTTCCTCAGCCATTATTGGTCGTTGTTTTTTTGGATTTAAAACCGATTGTTGCGTCTGTTTGCGTAAGCAGATCCAGACCTATTATCCCGTCGAACATTGGAAGAGAAGGAAGTATAAAAAGGTACTGTTTTAGTCAAAACTGTTGATTATGCATTTTTCTTTAATGTTAGTAAAGCCGTGGATTGACTTTACTAAAAAAAAGAATTTGACAGGTGTTATGTGCTTAAGCGCTTTTAGAGGCTTAACAGAANGCATTTTTCTTTAATGTTAGTAAAGCCGTGGATTGACTTTACTAAAAAAAGAATTTGACAGGTGTTATGTGCTTAAGCGCTTTTAGAGGCTTAACAGACTTGTTTGATGCCCCCGTGTCTATTAGTAATTTTATTTTCCTCCCTGCAATTGTCCTTTCAATGAACGGTAGCAGGGAGTTCTGTCTAATAAATTTATCTGGTCGGGTTCAGCAAGGTCGTCGTCGATTGCCGCGGTCTCTGAGTTTGCTAGGCCATGATACACGGCATCTTCCTGATTCCAGGATTTGGATCATTTGGCAAAACCAAAAGACCAGCTAGAACTTCTTCAGCTTAAAGCTGTAAGCCTTTAAGCATAATTGTGCTGCAATGTAAGTTATTGACTGTTCCGGTTTCAGATTGAGAAACATAAACGGAGCGGAAGAAGGACGCAAACAAGTTACAAATACTAGTTTGAACGTCAGTCGAGGATTCCCCCAAATAATCCACCAGATCAGAAATTCGGATGTTTTCCTTTTTGCTGTTTATATACTGTCAAAACCGTTTACTATTAAATCTTATTTCGCTGTCAATGTTCAGTATATAGCTCTGGTATAAAAATGTGTTAAGAGCGTCAAACTCTTTTTGTAAACTACTGTAGGCTTCAAAAAGTTCAAAATTGTCTTTCGAATTGCGATACAGCTTGTTAGTTTTCTAATTGTTTATATTAATAAGCCTAGAGTCGTACCAATCTGGTTTGGACAAATTTTTTACTGGCTTCATAAATAGATACGAACTTTTCAATTGCCGCGTCTCGAAATACGTCGTAGGCCTGTGACAATATTATGAATCCGTACGATTCACGATAAACGCTTGCATTCTGTTATCCCTAATTACGAACCGATGTTCGTCGTAGCAAATCCGAAGTTAGCGTAACTAATTTGTTTTGGTTAACGATAAAAAGTGAACAAAAACCACAGACATTCAAAATAATACATCTGTCGGGCGTATGAAAAGAATAATACGAAAACTAATTTCTACGATACGCTTGCAACGGTTATCGTCTATCGTATGGAAATTCATAATAGGGGGGTAAGGCAGATTCCCAATAAACCGAATTCAGGGAGCGTGATATCTCAATGGATTTGGTTGCAGTGAAATTATAGTTCTTACAATTATAAATAACTGATTTTAAATAATTTATAAATTCAGTGTTTTTTGATGCATAGCGTTTGAAAGAGGTGGTGAAGAGAGGGATTCGACGTCAGATTTAAGACCATTATAAGTAAACACTAAGTGAAGAATACGATTTTTGTCATAATGAACTCTATTAATTTGAGAGAGGTTAAACTCCAAAAAAGGTGTCTAGTACTTCACAATCACTCTCGCTTGTTACATTATATGACAAAATTGCTTAACGTCATCATCAAACCACCATTTAACATTTGGCAAATTGAAGTCACCCAATATTATAATGTTTTGATTATAATGNAATTGCTTAACGTCATCATCAAACCACCATTTAACATTTGGCAAATTGAACTCACCCAATATTATAATGTTTTGATTATAATAATAATTATCATTTAGACTATTCAATATCGAGCAACAATTACTTGTATGCATTTTATACAATTCAATTGGACTTAATGGCGGTATGTAACTTACAGAAATGAATAATTCATGCAATTTATCTATAACGATTTTAACAATAATTTGATCAATATCGAAACGGATCTGGTCTGACCTCATTTCAGAGGACAGGGTTATTTGCCTACTGGGTAGACTCGAACGAACAGCAGCAAGTATACCGCCGCCTTTAGAGAGACCAGTTGTGCGGGGACATCTGACTTTGCGATGTACGTTATACACTTGGCAATCGAGCATTTCGGCAGTATGATGGCGTTCAGAGAGCCAAGTTTATATTAAGACTATGATATCATAGAGAGCCGACGATGAAAAAAACAACAATGGCACAATTTTTGTTCTTATACCACCAGCATTTTGATAATAAAGAAAGAATTCTGCAGCATCCGATGAATAACTAACACCGTTGGCATTCACTAGGCCTGCTGCGGTTTCTCATTTTCTGTTATAATAAGAGATGCGTTCATATGTATAACCCTATATTTATGAATGTATGTAAATATGTATATAACTAAGAGAAGCCGTGGGAACTATCTGCGTACCCACTTGCAGTAGCAAACACATTTGCATGTCATACATATGTAAATAAGATTGGGAAAAAACAACTTCGGCCGATATGTTTCATGTATGCACGTATGCATGTAGCGCAGGCACAGTGGTACAAAACTGTAACCACTTTGTATAAATATAAAAAAAAAAATCATTTGCTCCAACAGCGACCCTAAAGTAGTCTTAAGAAACACTTTTTAGTGAGCGCAGTGAGTGACTTGCAGTAGCAAACACATTTAGTCCTATCATAGAATCCATCGTAGAAAATCTACGAATTCGGATGTCCGCTACGAATACGAAAAAATTGCTATCACTGAATCCGAGTGAACTCGAAAACAGTGCTGCCAAATTAAAATTTCGAAGTACGAAGTTTCGCAATCAGCTGGCTGAAAGTAAACAAATAAATTTAATCGTGCAATATTTTTGATTTTGGACATTTTTATAAAATTATCAATAAAAAAAATGGATTCACTGGCGAGTGCAATCATGCTGATGGTAGAGGAAAGTGAATTAAGCAGGTCCGCTATTAAAATTCAGAGAAAAACTTTGAGGGACGCAAGTAATCCTCTCGAAATGCAAGAAGTAATGTAAGTGTAGTGTGTTCATGATTACTTTATTTCTAACTGCACTTTAATGCAGGTTCATAAAAAATTTTCGCTTAAACAAGCCGCATTTACGTACGTCCTAAGTGCTTTGGAAGAGAAAGCAGCTCCTTGCTCGTCATCCATAAGCCAAGTTCATCGGCTATCTTCTGTTTTAAGATTTCTCACGGAGGGAGGCTATCAGCATGGAGTGGGCAAGGATTATGACATACCGATGGCTCAGTCCACATTTTGCTGCGTTTTAAAAGACGTATTGGCGTTGTTACAAACTCATATTTGCCCACATTGAAAAAACCTTAACTTAAGTCATGACGAAAAACGGCAAGCAAAGATGGACTTTTACCAAAAAACAGGATTTCCTGGAGTAGTGTTGTGTGTGGACGGGACTCATATTAAAATAATTTCTCCCACTGAAGACAAATTCCTGTATCATAACCGAAAAGGCTACTACAGCATCAATGCCATGATAGTAAGTTTGATAGACCAGTTATGCATCAAGGTTTAATTAAATTATTTGCAGATTTGCGATAACAAAATGAAAATCCGCTTTGTGAATGCGCAGTACCCAGGAAGCAATCGCGATTCCCATATAATGAACGTCAGCAATGCGAGATGTTTCTTTGAGAGGAACTACTTAAATGGTGAACGTAACACCTGGATTTTGGGTAGGTAAACAAAATTTAAGTGAAAATTTATAAAAATCGTTTTTCCACGTTCAGGGGATGCTGGATACTCCTTGGAACCATGGTTGATGACACCTTTCCGTTCACCTCCGCCTGGTAGCTCCGAAAGCCATTACAACAAGATACACGCCAAAGGCCATTGACACGTCAGCAACAGCTTCAGCATTTTCTCCGCCCACTGGCTCAGGTAATCCAACGCTCACCGTGTTTTTTATGCCATGCGTGCTCGTCTCTAAAGCAGTGAACCGGATTACTTTTTCTTCCATTTCATTAAAACTATGTTGCCTGTTTCGACCACCACCAGTTGCCAACTGTTCTCTTTTGTTGTCCCCAAGTTTTCTTTTAATATATGCCTTCCATTCTAACCATACCTGAAGAAAAGTATATTTAGTTAGCAAACAATGCATGCATTAAAAATGTAGTTTTGCTGAGTTGCCCCAGTACTCCCGTACCAGACTTTTAGGCAGCGAAGCGTACTGGAAGTCGTATGATGCGTCCACGTCGTGTTACTTTTATTGTCAACGATGATTTCGCAGCACTGTCGGTAGTTGGATCTAGGTCTGCAGTTTCAGTTGTTACTTCTGGTTGAATAGTATGAGGTGTTTTGAGGCTGGTTTGAGGCGATTTATGAATACGTTTACTGCTCTGTTGCATATTTGTATCTTGTAACTTTTGGGGTTGCGTTCTTCAATTTTAAACGGTCCATCGTATGGTGGTGTAAGCGATGGTTTAGCGGTGTCGTTTCGGATGAAGTCGTGAGTTGCATCGTTCAACGCAGGGTTTACAAACACCTCTCTCTTCGTATGATGCGCTGTATCGGTAGGTTTAACTTTATGCATGGTGTTAATCAGTTGTTGAACAAATTCCGAAGGGGAGGAGTGTTCAGCTGGCTCGAACATCTCGCCTGGAAGACTGAGAGTTGTACCGTAGACGAATTGCGCGGGAGTGGCATCTACATCAGCCTTATGAGCCGATCGCAAACCCAGGAGTATGACTGGAAGTTCGCGAGACCAACTTATTGGGCTTGGCGTACACATAATTGCTGCCTTCAAGGTGCGGTGGAACGTCTCTATAATTCCGTTTGCCTGTGGATGGTACGCTGTCGTACGAAGGTGTGTGATGCCCAAAACACGTTATAGTTCATTTAAGAGTAGAGGTTCATACTGCCTCTNCTCTGTTGCATATTTGTATCTTGTAACTTTTGGGGTTGCGTTCTTCAATTTTAAACGGTCCATCGTATGGTGGTGTAAGCGATGGTTTAGCGGTGTCGTTTCGGATGAAGTCGTGAGTTGCATCGTTCAACGCAGGGTTTACAAACACCTCTCTCTTCGTATGATGGGCTGTATCGGTAGGTTTACCTTTANACAAACACCTCTCTCTTCGTATGATGCGCTGTATCGGTAGGTTTAACTTTATGCATGGTGTTAATCAATTGTTGAACAAATTCCGAAGGGGAGGAGTGTTCAGCTGGCTCGAACATCTCGCCTGGAAGACTGAGAGTTGTACCGTAGACGAATTGCGCGGGAGTGGCATCTACATCAGCCTTATGAGCCGATCGCAAACCCAGGAGTATGACTGGAAGTTCGCGAGACCAACTTATTGGGTTTGGCGTACACATAATTGCTGCCTTCAAGGTGCGGTGGAACGTCTCTATAATTCCGTTTGCCTGTGGATGGTACGCTGTCGTACGAAGGTGTGTGATGCCCACAAAACGTTATAGTTCATTTAAGAGTAGAGGTTCATACTGCCTCTCCTGGTCGGTGGTGATACGTAGTGGTATTCCAAATTGCTTGATCCAGCCTTCAATTAATGAAAATGCGACAGTATCGGCGCTGATATCGCCACCTTGTGAAACGATCAATGATCGTGAGGCAATACTTAAACCCGTAGGAAGGCGGTAGTGGTCCGACCAAATCAACGCTGATGTGTTCAAACCTCTGCGAAGGAATAGAAAATCTGGAGAGTGGGGCAAAGGTGTGTCTACTTATTTAGCGCGTTTACACATTGTTGAACAAATTTAGAAATATCGTGATCCATGTTGTTCCAAACTAATCTCTGTTTGATTAGTTTTAATGTGGCCTTTGTTCCGCCGTGCGAAATACCGTGCAACCTTGCTATTACAGATGAACGACATGGCCGTGGTATGAATGGGCGGGCTATTGCACCCGAAACGTCACAGGTGATTGCTGTCTGCGTGTGTGGAAGTTGAATCGCTTGAGCTGTAAAGACGTCGAGCTTGATTAGAGCAATTTTTGTAGTTCTTCACAAAACTTTTGTTGTTGAGCGATGTCCTCGTAGCCGATTATNAATCTCTGTTTGATTAGTTTTAATGTGGCCTTTGTTCCGCCGTGCGAAATACCGTGCAACCTTGCTATTACAGATGAACGACATGGCCGTGGTATGAATGGGCGGGCTATTGCACCCGAAACGTCACAGGTGATTGCTGTCTGCGTGTGTGGAAGTTGAATCGCTTGAGCTGTAAAGACGTCGAGCTTGATTAGAGCAATTTTTGTAGTTCTTCACAAAACTTTTGTTGTTGAGCGATGTCCTCGTAGCCGATTATCGCGTTGTTAAGTTGAAAAAGGTTGATACGTGAGAGTGTGTCAGCAGTTATATTTATCGCGCCAGGTAGGTGAACAATTCGGACGCAAAATTGACCAGTGTAGTCCAACTGACGGACTTGTCTGGGCGATCCTTTGTCATTTTTTTGAGAAAAAGCAAAGGTAAGCGGCTTGTGGTCGGTTGCTCTAGTGAAATCGCGGCCTTCGAGCAGATAGCGATAATGTTTGATGGCTGTGTAGATAGCAAGTAGCTCTCTGTCGTACGTGCTGTATTTACATTGAGCGTCGGTGAATTTCCGAGAGAAAAAGGCGAGCATTGTTGACCATTTGAGTGTGTGGAAGTTGAATCGCTTTGAGCTGTAAAAACGTCGAGCTTGATTCGAGCAATTTTTGTAGTTCTTCACTTTTGTTGTTGAGCGATGTCCTCGTAGCCGATTATCGCGTTGTTAAGTGGAAAAAGGTTGATACGTGAGAGTGTGTCAGCAGTTGTATTTATCGCGCCAGGTAGGTGAACAATTCGGACGCAAAATTGACCAATGTAGTCCAACTGACGGACTTGTCTGGGCGATCCTTTGTCATTTTTTTGAGAAAAAGCAAAGGTAAGGGGCTTGAGGTCGGTTGCTCTAGTGAAGTCACGGCCCTCGAGCAGATAGCGATAATGTTTGATGGCTGCGTCGATAGCAAGTAGCTCTCTGTCGTACGTGCTGTATTTACATTGAGCGTCGGTGAAATTACGAGAAAAAAAGGGGAGCATTGTTGACCATTTGATGAATGACTGCGCCCATAGCCGAGTCACTAGCACGATATCAGCTCCTGGGGCTGGGTGAGCCAGGGAAGCAGCGTGTACCAAATCTTCTTTGCATTCGTTAAAAGTTTAACGGTTTCGTCATTCTACGTAATCGGTGTTCGGTCGTATTTGATGTTGCCTTTAAAGAGCGCAAGGAGTGGCTGTTGATGTTCCAAGGCATGAGGGATAAAGCGAGGGTAAAAGTTCACCATCGCGAGGAAGCGTTTTAGATCACAAGCGATTTTTGGAAGTGGGTAGTTCTTGATAACTTCTACTTTCTCCGGCATTGGTTTAATACCCTCGGGTGTAATCAAGTCACCCAAGAAGTTTATTTATGTTTGCGCGAATACGCACTTAGAGGGATTTATTGTTAAATGGTCGCGTCGAAGTTGGTCGAATACCGTGCGCACGTGTTGCTTGTGTTCCTGCAGCGTCTTCGAGGCACTGCAGATGTCATCCAAATCACAAAAGGCGAAGCGTAATCCTCGAAGTGTTTCATCCATATGACTCTGAAAGGTTTGCGCAGCGTTGCGAAAACCGAAGGGCATTTGCAGATACTCAAACAACCCAAACGGCGTAGTTACGGCAGTTTTCTGAATATCCTTGTCTTCCACGGGTATTTGGTGGTATCCCCGCGTGAGGTCGATCTTTGAGAATACGCTTTTACCATGTAATAAGTGCGATAGATCATGTATATGGGGTAGGGGGTACCCGCCCGGAATTGTTTGAGTATTGAGTGCCCTGTAGTCTCCAGAGGGGCGCCGATTGTTGTCTGCCTTGCGGACGAGGTGCAGAGGCGAGGCATATGGGCTCTGTGATGGTCGGCATACACCGATTTTCATCAAGTACTCGAAATCTTCCTTGGCTGCTTTTAGTTTATCTGGTGTAAGGCGACGAGGGTTAGCAAGAACGGGTGGGCATGCGTCTCAATGCAGTGTTACTGTGGTGGATACTTCAGAGAGTACTGTGTTTGGCGCGATTGTTGTTATGTCTTTGTATTCGTTTAAAAGCTTATCGTATTCGTTGTTATCGTCTTACAATTTTGGTGATATGGAAGGTACATTGTGTATATTGATGATGCAGGCACGACTTTTAATTTATGTGTCCGCGTCAATAATAGAGCGTTTTTTATGTCTACTAAAAGGTTGAAGTGCCGCAAAACATCAGCGCCAATAATGTTGTGGGCCGTGATAGCTGTGATAAAATCCCACTGGAAAGGACATCTTAGTCCAAAATCTAGATTAAGTCTTACCTTTCCGTATGTGTCAATAGCTGTGTTATTAGCTTTACGACGAGGCGAACATCCTGCTGTGTGGCTAATAGATACGTCGGCATCAGTATCGATTAAAAAGTTTCGCGCTGATGAACGGTCCGTGATGAAAAGTCGGTTGCTGCCTACTGAATATTTGTCCACCGTTTCAACGGATTTCTCTTTTTGTTCCGCAATATTTGTCAATCTTGATAGCGATGATGTTGTGCTTAATGCTAAAGAATAGGAAAGCCTCTCGTGAAGGGATGTCAATAAAGACTGGGTTGCGCTAGTGATGAATTCGAAAATGGTTGTGGCGGTATTGCGTTACATTTTCCGACGACACCATGCGTTGATGCCGCCCGCGCGATCAGTTTTTTGAGGCATTGTTGAAGTAGCAAGGGATGTTACATTTTTAGCGTCGCTCCCATACCTTTTGTGATACCGGCAAATGGCATCACCAGATGAGTGCGTATGTCTTCTGTGTGGAGTTGCGGAAGGGCTTCTGCGCTCCCGTGTACGACTCTGACGTTCTTGTCCTAATTTTGACTCAATCCGAGCTAGTGTACGTTCGAGGTAACCAACACGGTTTTCAAACGTGGTTGATGGTGTGGATGCGATGGCTTCAATTGACGGTTTTTGTTGTTGTTGGAAAGCATTGAGTGGTTTAGTGAAAACAGACTCTACGGAATTAACACGAACTGCATCGATGATTTCGTCTGCAAGTGAAGCAAGTTGTTCTATGGTCATTTCTGGATTGCCTTTAGCGACTCCTGCGATGACTGCTCGCACGGAGACGGGTAGACGTGGGATCCAAAAGTGTGACGTCAGTGCGCTGTAATTGCGTGAGCATGTGGCTCGGTTTGTTGTCGCCCAATTGTATCCCGGTAGTCAGCTGTTCCAATCTTGCCAGTGGAGATGCGGAAAACTTATTGATTATTGTACGTCGAAGTGTACCATAGCGGTCTTGTGCTGGAGGTGTGCGAGCAATTTCGAATGCTTGTTCGTGTAGTCGCTCGTCCATAAACATAACTGCTAAGTTAAATTTTTCCTGGTCGCGCTGGTCTTGGTTCATTTTTCCAAAACCGTGGATACGGTAAAAAGCTTCAAAACATGTAAACCACGACTTAACATAGAGTAGCCAT